GATCCCGGCCAGGGAGCTGACCCACATGGCATGGCAGACCTCTTCTGACCTGCTCACTGCTACCCTCAGTACTTTGTCAGTCTACCTGTTCTGCTCCCCACTCTGTCTCTGGTGAATGCTCTCACCCACCACACCTCTGGCCTGTACTCCAGTTATGTAAGCATAAATAAATAAATCTTAAAAAATAAAAAGTATAATCTTTCTACTCAAGAAGGATGTATGCTTATGGTAAGTAAGTCTTCCATACTCTCATATAATCCTTGTTTTTTGGTCAGTTTGTAAACTAAAACTGTGATCTGGCGTATGGAAAGTCATAATCTTGATTGCAAGTATGTCCTTTAACATTCTCTATACGCTTTGATTTAATACTCTTTTGTAGCTTGAATTATATTTGTTTGTTATTAATGTCATTATTTCTGTTCTTATTCATCTGTCTAGTATGTTTTTATCATCATCTGACCTTAGGGCAAAGGTCACTTCTTTTGGAATTCTTTCTTTTTCTTCCTTTTTTTAATTTCTTGTATATATTATATACAAAATATATACATAATATGCACATGTATATTATTTATAAAACATATTATTATATAATATATACTCATCTACTGGGTTTTATTTTAAAATCCTAAATCTATTTCTTTCATGAAATTATTTATCATGGTTATATATTGATATGAAAAATATGTTGGTCTTAACCCCATTTCATTTTATTGTTTTCAAATTATCTTTCAAATTTTTCTGAGGTAAAAATTTTTAATTGCATTATTTTTTCTCAGTGGTCTTATTTTCTTTTACGATTACACACACACGCACGCGCGCAATTTTAATTCTGCATTTTCTGCAGTAACAACCACTATATATGGATGAAACTGCCAAGAACTGTGAACAGTAAGAATCTTTACCTGAAGTCACATGCATCTGTGCAGGCAGGGGGCATTTTCCAGCATCAACAGGATACTTAGCCAACATAGGCAAAATGGTCTTGATGGGTAAAGTTGTTTCCCCAAATAATCTTACTCAGTAAAATTCACAGCTAATGAGGAATTTTCTTAATTTACATCTTTATCACAATTTTCCAAGTTTACAAATATTTATTCAAGACTGTAATGTTCATGATAATAAACAGTGTGCTCTAACGTTCTTAAAGTTCTCTATATATCTAAGACACCGTGGCAGTGGGCCCCTTTGGCTGCCTCGGACCTTGAGCTGCTGCAGAAACCCAGCTGTCACTGCTATGTCCCCGCCACAGGCCCTTCAGCTGTGGCTGTTGGTGGAACTGGTGTCCTGGGCTGACCGGGGCTGGAGAACAAGCGGATCTCTAGATGAGCCTCTTGGTCTCCGGCCTCCGCAGACCCAGCCCCTCAACACGGACCAGAAGTGCACGCGTTGCGGTGCAGGAAGCACACTACGGAGGGGTCTGGAAGCTCTGCCTGGGCGCCTCTGGCTGGAGGGCGAGAGGATGACCGGAGACTGCAGCTGAGGTCCGGGGGTTTGCAGCTGTCTGGGCTGCAGAGACTCCAGGGGAGAGCGTGGTGCTGAAGATGCACTGGTGACAAGATTTTAGAAGAGTGGAAAGTGTTTATCCCATGGAAGCAGAGGTCTGCATAACAATTACTGAAATTGGAAACATGCAAAACAGTTGTAATTTTCTAGTTGAAAAGCTAGATAGCTTTGTTCTCCTCACTTGTAGAAACTCCATATTCTTTCTAGAATCTTCTACAGCAAGCCTGCTTGTTGCTGTTGAGAACACCTGCTCTGTGACCTTGTTTGCTAAACCCGAGGAAAACCGCTATCATCATCGTTATCATTATTATTGTTATTACTAGGGAAGGCGAAATAGATATCATCTGTTATCCATGACAGCTTCATTGGCTGTACAACAAAATATCTTAACCACAACAATGCAGGCTGCTTTAAAACTATAATTTTTTTAAGTAAAAGGGAACGAGAAGAAAAATCTCTGAAATTCCATATTTGTGTTTTCTACTGTTTTTCTACTTTTTATAATATTTGCTTCTCCGTGGAATATATCTATTGTATAGTATATAAAGTATACCTCTCCCAGATCTTTCAATATATTTATTTATGGTTACTATTTTCAAAAGATTACTCCAGGAAATACTTTTTGAAAATAAATGTTATTTGTGCGTACTTGGGGACTGATAATTCAAGTAAGAGCATGTATAAGTGATTTTATATTTCCACTTCAGGAAGAAATATTGGCATTACTATTAGCGTGATTCTTCACATCAATAGAAAGAATGATGGGCAATACATAACTTTTGATAAAAAGGTAATGAGGTGTAAAAGGGAAATATTTTAATGTCTGAAATTAAAGAAGATATATAGGCCACCCTTTCTTTAACAGGCATCCTTATATTTTACCCAGAATGTCCAATACAGATACAAGGCAAGTCACATGTATAATTTAAAATTTCCCACTAGACACATAAAAAATAAAAGATTTAAAAAGAAAGTTTAAACCAATTTTATAGCATTTTATTTAAATCAGTATATCCAAAATATGTTTCAGCATGTACACAATAGTCAAAAAATAAATTATTAGTTATTTTATATTCTTTTTTGTCCTAAGTGTCCAAAATCCAGAGTATGGCTTATATTGTAGCTCATCTCAGATGCTGAATTTTCATCAGAATTTAAATATTTTGAAAG